ATCATTATCTTCCTGGTAGACTGGGCCTTTAATCATTATGTGATGCTCCTATATGTTAATTGTGATTTCCTTTGGCCTGAAGTCTATTTCACCGGACACGAATATAACCACTCCTGGTTATAAAAAAAAAATATTAATGTTTCAGTCTGGTTGCTGTGATTGGACAGTATGGAAGCCAGGATGGTATGGAATCTGCTGGCTGTCAAATTGCCAACAGCACCTTAATTACTGATAGTCTGAAAAACTATTCAAGGGGTAAAGTTGTAGAGAAATACAACAAATACTGTATTTCTTGCTACAAAAATATTGTTATCTCTTGTTATTGAACACCTGTCTCTGAAGCTCTATTTTCCCTTTCCCCTAGTCCATTTTCACTATCATTCAGATGGACAGATTCTATCTTTTCCTGAAGATCACTGGCTCTATACCCTTATATCCACTTTATTACCGAAAAGATTTTTTATTATTAATAACTATTATTATTTCTCTTATACTACTTTTCTCATGGGAGATAGATGAGCTATCTTCTCCCATGTGATATTCTGACTCTGAAAACCTGCTGGAGTTCGTTCCACTCATTGATATTTAATAGTAACAACACAGCACATTTCTGTCCTAGAATTTCCATCTGGTGTTTTTCTAATTGCTGTGGCAGGGCTGAGGTTTTCTATTTAGGCCATTTCTTTGAAAATAATTTTAATGGATTCTTGAAGGTACTTTAAAATCCTTTTCAGACAATTCGAACATCTGATTTATTTGCATTAGTTGGTTTCCTTATTCGAACTGTTATTTTTCTTTGTTCTTGGTATGCTAGGTGGTTTTTAATTCTATTCTGGATATTTTGTTTATCCTATCAGGTGTCCTGTTAGCACAAACGATTAAGTGCCTGGCAACCAATGGAAAAGTTGGTGGTTCAAATCCATGTAGGTTCTGTGGGACAGACCTAGTAATCTGCTTTCTTGAAGATACAGGCAAGAAACTGCTAAATGGCAGTTCAATTCTACTATGTCCTATAGGTCTCTAGGAGTCAGATCAACCTTTAAAAAAATTCGCAATCTAAAGAACTTTAGATTCAACAGGAAATTAAATAAGGGGTAAAACCCTCTGATGCCTCAATTGATAACAGACTCATTTTGCATCTTCCTTAAAAGCATGTATACAAAAAGCCCCTAAGCTGAAAGAGTCTAATAATAAAATTCTAATGCTACTATTCAATTTTTTCCTATCTTTAATTTCTTAAGGCATTATTGTTGTTGTTATGTGTCACTGAGTTGCCTGCAGCTTATAGTGACCCCATGGACAAAAGCTCTGAACCCTGCTTTATTCTGAGCCAATCTCACTCTCTCTGACACACCTACCCCCACTGCCTCAGCCACTGAATCAATCCATCTCATTTGGGGTCTTTCCTGCGCTGCCTCTTAATCCTTTCAAGCATGATGCCCCTCTCCAAGGACTGGTTTCTCCTGCCAACATGCCCAAAGTATGTTAGAAGGAGCTTCAAAATCCTAGCCTCCAAGGAGCAGCCTGGTTTCACCGTTTCCAGGACAGACCTGTTTATTCTCTTAGCAGTCTATGGTATATTCAATATTCTTCTCCAACACCATTACTCAAAAGCATTGATTCTCCTATCATCCTTTGTCATTGTTCAGCTCTCTGAAGAACAGCAAGTGATAGTGAAGGCCATGGCTTGGCTCAGGTGTACCTTTGTCTCTAGACTGACTGTTGGTGGTAATCTTATAGGGAATTCTGGTGGCCTACAGAAACAATGATAGTTAAAGAAAACGTCTTTTGTTCAGAAGGTTGCTATGAGTCATATTCAACTAGACAGCACATAACAACAACAACAAAAATACCATCTCATCTCAATAACAATAACAAAGTTAAAAGAGCAGCAAGCAATAAATGCTGGTGAGGTTGTGGAGACACTGGAACCCTTATTCATGGCTGGTGGGAGTTAAAATGGTGCAACCACTATGGAAGATGGTTTGGTGCTTGCTCAAACAGTTGGACCAGCAATGTCACTACTGGGAATATACCCTCAAGAAACCAGAACCGACATCCAGACAGATATATGCATACCCATGTTTACTGCTGTCAACAGCAAACAGATAGAAGAAACCCAAGTGCTCATCAACCAATGAATGGATAGAAAAACTATGGTATATTCATACTATGGAATACAATACAGCACTGAAAAACAATGAATTCGTATAACATTATGCAACATGGAGGGCTCTGAAGGATATCATGCTGAGTGAAATATCTCAGTGACAAAAGGACAAGTACTGCACAGCACCACTGTTACCAAGCAGGTCTGACATGGGGGTTGGGAGGAGAATAAGAGTGGATAGATAATGAAACTAGAACAAATGAAGGAAATAACTTTAAAAGGAATATATGATTAGGCATCATACATACAACAACAGCACAGTTAACTTCTCTGTAAACATTCATTTAAATAACAATGATAATAAATTTTTATTTTAGAAAACTACAGTAAGAAGCTGTGCTGACACATAGTTCAAACCCATCAGCTGATTTGCTGGAGAAGAAAGGGCAAATTCCTCCCTTGCTATTTACTGTCTTTGAAAACCTGCTGGAGGGTCAGCTATGGTTCTGTTCTGACACAACAGCACACAACAACCACAACCATGGGGCAAGGCATTTTTCAGAAGTGCAAGAGTAAGAAGGAAAAAAAGGATTGACCTGACTCCTAGAGACTCTGTAGGACAGAGCAGAACTTCCAGAGTTTTGTTCAGTGTTTTCTGTTTGCTTGTTTTAAAGGAAATGATTCAAATTCACCAGGCTGCTTCACAGAAGAAAGTTGGAAAATCTCGTCCCATGCAATTAAAACCAATGAACAGTCAGCTATGAGTTGGTTTTGACTCGATGCTACAAAACCACAAAATACTAGGTATCTTATTGGAGATCATTTTACTATGTTTATAAGGTTTCTGAATTGAATATATGAAAACACATTCAGACTGTGTTGGACATTAAAAGAAAACGGCACAAAGTTTCAAAATACTATAAAATTTAATTATATTACAAATAAATAAATATATATAATTACATTCACTGTCATTATCATTACTTGAAAACACTGATATCTAGACGTATGTAAAAATTAAACAGTTATGCAAGTCACCTATCATATATTTACAGGAACATACAAAAAGTATTAACTAATCTTATACAAAGGATCCCTAGTAGTGCAACAGTTAAGCTGCTGAAGTTGGCGGTTCAAACCTACCCAGTGGCTCTGTGGTAGAAAATCCAGGTGGTCAGCTTCTATAAAGACCAGAGCGTAGAAGACTCTTTAGGGTAGCTGGACTACATCACATGGGATTGCTATAAAACGGCAACTCCACAGCACTTAACAACGACCACCTGTTCAAATGGTTGCCTGTACTTCCCAAACCCAATCAAAATCCATAGGGCACAAATATTGGCCAAACAATTCTTTCAAACTCTTATGTTAAACATAATTTTTTTTTTCTTTAAGCCATGAAGATGGCTAAGAAACTAACTTTATGGAGTTTAGGTTTTCTTGGCCTCTACTATGGGGCAAGAAATCAAATAAAGTTACAGGAATCACACTGTTGCTTTTCCAGAATACTAAAAAAACAAAAACAAAAACAATTAAAAAAAACCCAACCAAGGTATTACATGTGCATGTCAAAAGAGGCTCTAATACAAATGTATAGGAAGAGGTTTTGAAGAATAAATCGGGTATCCCAAGGGAGGATCAGCTGCTTGTACCGTAAGGTTCCTTAAGAGGAGCGGATGAGCTTGTATACTGTAACGTTCCTCATCGTCATTTGTGGCATACAGCAGTTCCCATGAAAGATTGGCCCACTGCCCTCTAACAGCTTCAGGATTCAGCTTTCCAACGTGGATCAAGAATTCTTGAAGGGTAAGTACCCTTCCAGTGTAAACTCCCTTTAAAAAAAGGAGGGGTTGGAAGGAAGAAAAAGAAATACATTTGCTCTTTACATTTTATCTTTAAATTTAGGAGGGGAAATTCCATGAAAATTTTCTCTCAAGATCAAAAGAGAGAAAGTGGTGTAGAAAAATGCACACACATGAATTTCTTGTTAGAATCAAGACTCTCTCTGAATAGGAATGGGATAAAAAATTCTCTGAAAGTCATCCCATATAATGAGCTGCTGTTGTGTGCTGTGTGCCATCGAGTTGGAACTGACCCATAGCTGACACCCCTGTGAGTTTTCAGAGGCAGTAAATTGCACAGGAGGAGACTGGCCATCCCTCTCCCATGGAGTAGGTTGTTGATTTGAACTGTGGGCCTTTAGGATTACAGTGCAGCTTCTTACCACTAGACCACCAGAGGTCTTTATTTAATGAGTTGTTATGTGCCATTGAGTTGACTATGACTCATAGTAACTATGCACTAAAGCTCTGGATCCTGCTCTATCCTGAGCTCTATCTATCACCATCTGTGAGACACTTACCCTTATTACCCTAGTTATTGTGTCAATCTATCTCATTCAGGGTCTTGCTCTCCTATGTTGTCCCTCAACATCAAGCATGATGCCCTTCTCCAAAGACTGGTCCCTCCTGGCAACATGCCCAAAGTATGTGAGACAGAGTCTCAAAATCCCTGCCTCCAAGGAGCAGCTTAGTTTCACCTTTTCCTGGACAGACCTGTTAGCTTTCTTGGCAACCTATGGTATGTTCAGTACTCTTCTCCAGCACAACTTAAGGCATCAATTCTTCTTCTGTCACCCTTGGTAACTGTCCAGCTTTCTGATGCATAGCACCTAACTGCAAAGACCATGGGCTGGATCAGGCGCACTTTAGTCTCTGGGCTGACATCCTTGCTTTTCAGCACTCTGGAGAAGTCCCTGACAGCAGACTTTTCCGATGCAATTCATTTTTTATTTCCTGTTAGTGCCAAGCATGTGGATTATGGAACTAAGCAAGGTGAAACTGTTAACAATCTGTCTCTTCTCCATCTATCATGATGCTGCTAATGGGTCCAGTGGTGAGAATCTTCATGGTCTTGATGTTGAGCTTCAGTCCATACTGCAAACTATAGTTCTTGACTTCAGGCCCTTTTCAGTTTCAACAAGGAAGGTTTTATCATCTAGTGTCAACTAGTCTCTGTAATACATATACATATGATTTTATCATGTAATAAGTTTGTGTGGTTTTTTTTTTAAAAAGAACCAACACAAAAACCTCCAAAATTTACCAAATATAGTCCCCACACACTTTACTCACTTAAAAGTGTACAATTCATTTTGGCTTCTTTCTTTTAGCATATTCATATAGCCACAATCACAGTCAATTTTAGGACATTTTCATGTTTCTTCAAGACAGGTTCTCCTTTGAGAGGTAAATGTTTGAAGGAGGTATGGTAGAGGAGCCACAGGTCTTCCAGGCTTGCTCTGACATTTTCATGTTTCTCCAAGACAGGTTCTCCTTTGAGAGGTAAATGTTTGAAGGAGGTATGGTAGAGAAGCCACAGGTCTTCCAGGCTTGCTCTTGACATGAAGTAAAACATTTCAGAATCTCTTTGCTTTGTTTGTTTTCTGTTTTTTTTCAATCAACTTTACAGATACAAAAATTTTATTGATTTAAAATTTATTCTGTTAAATTAAAAATTACCAGACAGTAAGTATGATCAAGGCCAGTGTTCTCAGTCATGCTATGCCCAAGTCAGAATCAGCAATGATGAAGCCCTGCTTTTCCTGGAAAAAGAAACCTCTAACTGGGAGCTGGAGCAAAGGAGCCCTGTGCTCAAGGTCATGCAGTCTTAGTGGAGTTTACCTTCTGCAAAGTTGGATGAAGGTAGCATAATGGGCTGAGAGGTGGAAAGTGGGTCTTGGCTCCAGTTTTAGTAGATTTTCTTTAACATTTCTTTATTTTCTGTATGCCCTTAGCACAATTTGACACTGTCAACACTTATTCTAAAAATCATTTTCATCAGTTTCACTGGCAAGTGTGCCTGCTCAGTTTCTCATGCTGCCATGCTAGAATGGACCCTATGAAAGGCTCATATCTTTCATATTGTGTACAAATGATGACATTTGAAATGCAATGAGGCATGTACTAAATTACAAAAAACGATGCTCTCTTTCATTTCTCCTGAATTTTCTCAGGTCAGGTTTACACCAAGTAAGGTTTCCTTTGACATACAGATGTTAGTGAAAGAAATTTTTCTCCCAGTATTAAAATCTCAAGTGAAAAATAAAGTGGCCAAAAGGAACTGCTGTTATTGTTAGGTGCCATTCATTTAATGACATATGACATAGCAAATTACAGGGACTTCTAGTGGCCTGGTGGTATAAGGAGTTGCGGTGCCAACCAAAGACAGGTGATTCAAATTCACCAGCTGCTTGGGAGCAAGATGAATAATCTCCTCTGCAATTTACAGCCTCTCCAAACCTGCCAGAGGTTCCGCTATGAGTCAGTTCTGTTTGATCTCATGTAGCAATAACATATCCAATTACAGTTGCCTGGCTATCATCTAAGTCACTTCTGCTGCACAGTGACAACACACTATTTTTAACTGATTCCTATTAAATTGGCAAAAATAAAATAATTTGCCATTCTAAGGCTGGACTACATGGGCCATGAATGTATCACTACAAAAGTCTCAAAACTGTAATATACACACAACTAGAGTAGTACTTCTTAATCACTTTGTACAAGTGCATTGTAACTGATTTCTATTCTTTAAATATATAAATAATGTTTTTTTAAAAAGTAATTTTAACTTACCATATTAGGATCATACCCCAGGGAAAACAAGTATGGTTTTTCTTGTAAAACGGCTTCCTTCCATTTTTCATCAGACACCAAACCAATATACCAGTCATTTTCATAATCTTCAAGGCAGTTAATCAGCTCTTTAAAGTTTTCTATTGAACCTAAACTTGCCTTATCAATCATTAGTTTCAGAGTATACCTGAAAAAAAATTTTAGAAACATTTTTTAAAAATTAACTTCATGGAGAAAACAGATTTTGTTCAATTAATATTTTTAAGACACTAATCTGCAATCACAGGTATTTCAGATAAAAAGATTAGAGAGAAATGATGTAGTTAAAATGAACAAATGTTTGACTGTTAAGATGTTGTTCTGCTGTTTAAAAGAGATATATAACTAGGTATTTCTGTCATCACAGGAGACTAGAGCGAGGGCTACATGGTGGAGGGGACCTGGGGGAGGGTTTGTAAAACAATGAAAGAATCTTTTCTTTTACTTTTCCATAATTTTTGGACTCATGTACTTATAACTTGTTAGTCAAATTTGTGTCTTCTAGGTTGCAACACCCCCATGATACATCTTCAAGGATATGAACATGTACGGCCAAGCACAATCAATAAGAGAGCATCTAAATTCCAAAATCAATCTCCATAAAATCTATGTGTTTCCTACTGCCAAAGGGGCCCTTTAGAGTAGTGAGAGAAGATCTTCACCCTGAAACCCACAGCGTCCCTTTTCAGCAGGAAGTAGCTAAGAGAATACGCCATCCCCTTTTCCTTATGACTCAGGGTGAAGTCTCTCTCAGGGAGGAGTGATAGGGAATGGCAAAGGACACACTGACAAAGAAGATTAATCAGAACTGGCTTTGACAAGCACTGTGGCATTTGGACAAGAACAAACTGGGAGGAGGGTAGAGAGAATAGTGCAACAATGAATGAATGGAAACCCAAAATCTCTGTAAATGTTTATGAAAATTAATAAAATATAATTATAGGGAAAAAAAAGATGTTGTTCTGTCAACTCAAAGCATGTGGTTCAAATCCACATGGTGCCCTGCTGGCGAAAGGCGGGCATTCTCCTCTTGTGTGATTTACAGCCTCTGAAATCCAGCAGAGGATTAGCTATGAGTTGACTCTGATTTTATGTTACATAGCAACAACGTATGAAAAATACATCTTCCACATAAACAAAACCAAAGGAGGTATGAAAGTAATAATGTACTATTCAAATAATCACAATGCAGAGAATTAACCCCCTCCATTTAAGGACATATTTTTTAAATTAGGAAAAAAGTCTTCTAGGTTAATAAAATCAACAATTTTCTGCCAATGCTAAAACTTTTACATAGTAAGAATTAATTACCTGAAAGCTTTCAGTGCTAGCTGGAATAGTTCTGGTTTTTCTGTAAGCCAATCCAAGGCAACAGACCAGGGCAAAACACCATTGTAAACTCTCAGTATGTGACCAGGACTAGGAGCCATATTATCTCCTCCAAACAAACTAATGAAACAAGTCAATACTACATGAACATAAAAGTCTTTTAAAACTTTATCCTTCGCAATTTCTTCTAGTACACTTGAGGCCTTTTCTTCTGAATGAAAACATTCTAACTGCCTTAATACAAATTGGTACCAGTCTTCTGGAAATAACGCCCTCATCTCCTTCCTTTTGGAATCATGCAAACAGTTGTATCTCCACTCTTCAGGTAAGCCTAACAAGTGAGAATGAGAACAACTAAACTCCATGAGAGGAATACATCCCATGTCTTCCTGCTTTCCTTTGTCAGTAGCTGGATATCCCAATATGACTGTTTTAAAAAGACTATTTTCATATACATTGTCTGTGGAAAGCTCATCAACCTTCCATGATTCTATTGATCCTGGAAGAGGCAAATTTGTATCTGGTAAAACTTTCAACTGATTTTTGTCTTTCTTTTCTTTTTGGATTGTTGGCTCATCGTCAAAATTATCATCAGACCAGTTATCAAGTGATTCTGAATTTAAACTAACCATGTCTTCTGGGTACTCTGGTTGTGCAGGATTTGAAGTGGACATGATTATTAGAGGTGCTTTCCCTTCATTTTCAGCTTTGTGAGCGCTATCAGGTCTTCTAGGTCTTTTGGAGCAGTACCGAAGAAGTATCCACACAAGTACTTTAACAAGGTCATCTTTAAAGTCTTTCAAGTTTTCATGAGAATCTATTATGCCAGATAGAACACTCCTGGCATCAGAATATAACTTCACAGGCAAAACCGTACACGGTGTCAAGATATTTCCAAAGTGCTCATTAAGGGAACACATTCTTACAAATTCTTCTTGCTCAAAGGCGCTTTCAAAAACTTCATCCACTCTTCGAGCTTCAGCAGTGTGACAAGATGTCTCCTGCAATTCTAACCCCTTAAGAAATTAAAAGTACTTGTGTTTATGATCATTTATTACAAAGAAAAGCAATTATAAATGCACACTGATTCTCATAATAAAAAATTCAAAATGTCCATTTTATTAATTCAAATTGTGCATTAAACATATTTGATACTAGATACAAGTGTTTAAATTACGCTATTATTTCAAAAGATAGAAAAGTTCACTATAAACTGGCAAAACTTTACTGATCTTAAGTATATTAAAAGGATATATGTATGTATAGTTAAGGTGAATCACTTACTAAACATTATTAATTGATAATTTTTTTAAAAAGCAAAAGTGAAATTATACAATATGCACAGGATGATATCCTCTCTAGCTTATTTTAAATTTGGGTGGATTGAGAGCATTATTCTATTTTCTAGACATGCCATTATTTATTTAGCCATTCTCTTTTTTCCAGTTTATGATGATGATACAATAAACTACTTAAAGCCGCTCTCTTTGACAAGCATTGTATTTTCAGTGCCTGGAACATACTTAGCCTGCAAAGAATGAATATATTTATTAATATCTTCCTATGAGAATTCTGAACACTTATTGATGTCTTCCTTAGAAATAATCACTTGAAGAGGCCCTACCAGGTTACTATTTACTACTCTTGTTAATTTATTTCTATTTTCCCCACAAAATTATCTGTCATTGATTAAGGCCAATGCTGTCAGACTGTATTATAAGTCACAGAAAGAGCACAGGATGTGACACCAAAACATATATTCGAGTTATGTGGCTCAATCAAGTGCTGGCTAGGCAATCTTGGTCACTTACTCTGAGAATCTTTTTCCTGTTTTTTTCATTAATCCTAAATTTTGAAGATTATATATTAGATAGTAATAAAGGTGCTTTGCAAACTCAAAAGTCTTATATACTTTGTTAGTACATGACATAGCAAAGCCAGCATGTGTCAAAATAGAGAAAGACTGACATAAAAAAGTATGCCTTTATCTTACATACAGCACTGCTGATAGATCATGGAAGAACTCGTAAGTAACATCCTTTTAAAACCAGAGCTAAGCAATTAAATAATCTGAAAACTTGCATAGTTTAGTGCCTTCTTCTATTTGTGCTGGTTAGATAAGAAGAGCAAAACTTGAATTTTAGGTGAATCAGTCACCAAGATGACTTGTGAAAAAAGCACAGCTTGTTGAACCACCTCCAGTTTCTGACTAAGTCCAAAGTGGGGCCCCCAATATTTCATTTCTAACAAGCTCCCAGGGGATGCTGATCTTGCTCAGCACTATTCTGTGATAGTCAAAAGACTAAAATAAGCCAGCCTCAGTTGTCAATTTTATCCAATCTACGTTACAACAAAGGATGTATTAAAATAATTTACTGACATCCTATTATTTAGTAGACACTATTTCAAGGACTTAAGATACATCTGTAACTAAAAGGATTTTTACTCTGTGGTATTTACTTTAAGATGGGGGAAATGGGAAACCAACTAGAAATAATTATGTAATATGCTGCTGCTGTTGTTGTGTATTGTAGAACAAATCCATAGCTGACCCGCTAGTGGATTTTCAGAGGCAGTTAATCACACAGGAAGAGGTGTCTATCCTTCTCCCATAGAACAGCTGGTGGCCTTGAACCATGTGCCTTTGGGGTTGCAACACTGCTTCTGGCCACTAGGCCATCAGAGTTCTGGATATAATATACTAGAAGGTATAAATAACATTGACAATTTTTTTAAAGAGGTAAAGCAAGGAGAATTTAGAGTACAAAGGTGGAAGTGAGGATACAATTTTAAAAGAAACATCCATAGTCAAGTTTATTTAGAGATGAAAGAGAACCTGAATAAACAAAGCACTTTTGAAAAACAAAAATGAAGTGGGAGGCATAGCACTCCCTAACCTGAAAATGAACTACACAGTGGTAGTAACCAATACAGCATGGTATTGGTACAATGACAGTCACATGACCAATGGAACAGAACTGAGAACCCAGAAATGGACCCAGCTATCTATGGTCAACTGATATTCAACAAGGAAATAAAACATATCAAATGGGGAAATGACAACCTCTTCAACAAATGGTGTTGGCAAACTGTACTGCTACTTGTAGAAAGCTGAAACAGGATCCACATCTCACACCACACACAAAAATCAACTCAGACCTGGAACTAAAACCCAAAACCATAAAGTTCATCAGAGACAAACTGGGCTCAAGCTTAGAAAGCCTAGTCTGTGGTATAAAGAGACTGTCAAATATAGTCAGAAATGCACAATCTGGAGAGGATAAAAATCGATGAATGGGACCTTCTAAAGATTAAATCCCTGTGTGCATCAAAAACGTTTTCCAATAGGGTGAAAAGAAAACTTCCTGATGGGGAAGAAAACCTTTGGCAATACCATTTCATAAAAGGGTCTCATATCAAAAGTTTACAGAATTCTACAGGGACTCCACAAGAAAAAGACCGATAACCCAATTACAAAATGGGTAAAAGACATGGAAAGACTTTTTCACAGAGGAAGATATTCAAATGACCAAAAGACTCATGAATAAATGCTCAAAATCACTGGCAACAAAAGAGATTCAAATCAAAACCACAATGAGATACCATCTCACTCCAGTAACAGTGGCAAAGTTTAACAGGACAGCAAGTATGTTGGAGAGGATGTGGCGAGATAGGAACTTTTATACATTGTTGGTGGGACTGTAAAATGGTACAATCATTCTGGAAGGCAGTTTGGCATCTCCTCAAAAAACTCAACATAGAACTTCCATATGACCCATCTATTCCACTGCTTGGACTATACTCTGAGAAAATGAGAACTGAGTCACAAATGGACACTTGTACATCTCAGCATTATTCACCATCACAAGAACATGGAAACAACCGCAATCTAATGGACTGAGAAATTATGGTAGATTCACATGATGGAATACTACACAGCATACAGGAGCAATGATATTTTAAATCACTACTTAACTTGGGAGGGACTGGGGAGCATTATGCTAAGTGAACCAATTAAATCCCATAATGACAAATATACTATAAGACCATTATTATAGAACATGTATGAAGATCCAAGGCAGGGTGGGGGAGGGAGGAATAGAACGGTGAGGATGGGTGGGGGGTTAATCATAGGGTAGCACAATTTGTTGGGATGGAGGAGGAGTCAGTAAAGAAGACGGGAAAGATCCATTGTGAAAAACAATGTATACAAACCTTGTAAGTATACCAGTATAAAATAAAAATTTCATTAAAAAAATAAAAGGAACAGCCATAGACCTCATTGAAATGGTAACATTTGAGCAATGACATGAAGATAAAGAGGGAATTAGCCAGTTCATTCTGGAAGTTAGTTGTAAGGTTAGAAGGAAGAGTATTGGAAGGGAACAACCAGTAGACTAGAGCTGAATGAGAGGGTTAAAGGTAGAGACGTCAAAGAGGAACTAGGGACCCTGACCAATGAGGATCTTGGCTTTTACTCTGAATAGAGAACTACAGAGGGGTTTTGAGAAAACAACAAACACGATTTTTAAAAAATATTTTTAAAAAATATTTTAAAAAGATGACTAGTTGTTACATCATGCATAGACTGAAGGGGTATACTGCAAGAGACCAATTAGAAGTCTACTGCAATTATCCAGGCAGAGGATAAAAGTGGCTGGTTCCAGAATAGGCAACAGGAAATGGTTTAAAGGTGAGTCTCTGGGAATTCTTGATAAATTATATGAAGTGAGAGAAGCAAAACTTTAGTCATGGTTTTTAACATGGGCAACAAGAAAGTAAGAAAGGGAGCGCTCGTGGTCTAGTGGCAAGAGGCAGTGCTGCAATTCTGAAGGTGTAAGGTTCAAATCCACCAGATGCTCCGCTGGAGAAGGAGGTGCAATCTCCTTCCGTGACAGTTGGATATTACTCGACGGAACAAGAGAAAAAAAAGAACTGCTATTAAGGACTTTTCTAAGGATGCTGCTCTGGGGAACTCTGATACAAGAGATCAAGGAAAAAGGGAAAGTGTCATCAAAGGAAAGAGATAAGGAGTGACCTGTTAAACAAATGAAGAGAAGGGACTCATCAACTCTATCAAATGCTGCTGACAGGCCAGTGAGAAGATCTGAGAGCTGAGCATTGGATTTAGCAATGTGAGGTCACAGGGGACCTTAACAAGAGCAACTGTGGTGGAGCAATGGAGAAGAGCACTGAGCATCTCATGGACTGCCAAGAGAACTAACAGGTCTATCCTGGAGAGGATGAAGCCAAGCTGTCCCTTGGAGGCAAGGATTTTGAAGCTTCATCTCACATACTCTAGCATGTTTCCAGGAGGCACCAGTCCTTGGAGGACCATCATGCTTGGAAGGGAGAAGGAACAGCACAGGAGAGCTAACTGGGGTAATGAGGGTAGCTGTGTCAGAGACAGTGAGATTGGCCCAGGACAGAACCGGGTTCAGAACTATTGTGCACAGGGTCACTACGAGTCATGGTTAACTCGATGGCACATAACACCACAACAAAAACAATGAGGAAAAATCCCCTAAAGATGGATGAAAGATATCCAAAGTATGATTATAAGCAACTCTACTAAGGCAGTGTGCTCAAGGGCAAATGGCATATAGTAGGTTGGGGTAATGGTTTTAATTGAGATTTTTTTTTTTAAGTTAGTGATTCACACTTTTGAGATACTCAGCTAGAAAAGGGATCTATTTTGATACTATGCTCTACGATATAATCAATCGTAATCTATCCATACGTGCATATTGAGATATACTTTAAAACATGCTTTTATAAGTAATGAGAAAAAGATAATATTTTAAGTTATTGTCTGACATGCAAATTAAATTTTACAAATGTACTATAAAAATCCTAAAGAGGTTTCAAATAAACATTAACCTTAATGTTAATACAGCAGTAAGTGTAGCCTCTTTCTAGAATCATTATCCATATCAAACGATCCTGAAAACGACCCAAGTAATGAGACCCAGGTAAGAGGAGACCTGAAACAAATAAGAAAATAAGGAGAATCACTTTCAAGCTTGTTTTTTCATGTGACTCTTCACAATTGGTAACACATGTGAAACTGATTCATAGTTCCTTCAACCTTCCCATTAGACCAAGACCAGAAGCAACACTGGTTATTAGATATTAACTTGTTACTCTCCAGCAAATTTTTTGACACATAATAATCCACAACGATTATTAACTGCATCATGTCATATGCTGTCTAGCTGACTAACTCACAGCAATCCTACAGGGCAGGGCAGAATTGCCCCACTGGATGTCCTCTTTTCTCGCTTGGAATTCCTCATGGATTTGAACCACTGACATTTGTACAGCAGCTCTCAACCCTCCCCTGTATTGAGCCAGTCTCACTAATTCCAACACATCAACCCCCACTGTCCCAGTTACTCTATCAATCCATCTCATCTGGGGTCTTCCTCTCCTGCACTCTCCCGCCACCCTTCCAAGCATGATGTCCTTCTCCAAGGACCGGTCTCTCCTGGCCACGTGCTCAAAGTATGTGAGACAGAGCTTCAAAATCCTAGCCTCCAAGGAGAAACTTGGTTTTATCCTAAGACAGACCTATTTGTTTTCTTGGCATCTATGGTATGTTCAAGACTCTTCTCCAGCATTAATGGTGTTGTAGCAGGGAAAGGGAAGAGACAAGACACACATGTTTGGGTGTGGGGGACAATGAATGCCTCGGTTATTTCTGTAAGGGAAGGGTCTTTCATCTGCTCAGTAAAATGCTTGTCTGTCAGATACTGTTCTAAAATGAAGCATCCAAATTAAGACAGACTAGGAAGAAGGATTGGCCATCCACTTCCGTAATATAACAGGCATCTGAAAACCTTATGTGTATGAGGCTATAAATGCATGTTAATCATTTTTAGGAAAAGCATTTATACAAAAGTCAACTTCTGTGTATCTTTAAAATATTTTGGACTTTTTACTCATTCAAGCATAGACACAGTCTTAGAGAGGGTGCAGCCAGAGTGCTCCCTGAAGGCAAAAATCATAAAACTTAATCGGATATACTTTGGGTATGTTACTGTTGTTGCTGATTGCCATCAAGTTGAGCACAACTCAGTGACTCTATGAACAAAAGGCCTGAAGCCTTTCTATAACTATCGTCATTGATCAAAATTCATAGTTTCCAGAGGCATGTTGTTTCGGAAGTGGATGACATTCCTGCTTGGAGAGGCTATTTCTTGGAAATGGGTATCATGCTTGAGAAGGTGGAGGGACAAAGTCCCTCAACCAGGTGGACTGACACAGTGATTGAAGCAATGGGCTCAAGTGTATCAAAGACTGTGAGGATCTGGTGTACACAGGGTCACTGTGAGTCGTACTCAACTCCATGGCACCCCAGATCAACAACAAAAGTATATAAACATGTTTGTGGCTTTAACAATTTACATAAAATAGCATCACACTCTACAAATACTTTTAAAATTTACTTTTTCTCTCTCATTTCTCTCAAATTTGTCAACAGCAAACTACTTTGTTCCACTCACTGTAATGACTGTAGAGAATTGTCTGCATGAATCTGCCTGAATCTCAATATCCATTTCCCTGTCAATAGATATTTCAAATGTTGCCAATTTTTTGTTCTTGTTAACATTGACACACCAATTACAGGTTCAAATATAAATACAAACCTGTGTATCTGTTATATAAAAAAGAATAAACAGAGCAGTTCTGATGGTTATTCTCTGAAAGTTCTATTGGTTATTCTCTGAAAGTTCAGCCCTTGGCTGGCATCTGGGAACCTGAATTTTGGGAGGATTCCTATCGCTCTGATAAAAATGGCTCATTACCTAAATAATTTATATCAACAAATGGCCTATGCTTAACTCCACTAGCATAGCTTGTTTTATTATGCTTTGCAGGAATGATGTTTCTTACAAATTCAAGGAGTGTGAAAACATGGTAAGCTATTTATTTTGTGTTAACTCTCCAGCAGCATGTGCTCATTTATAGTATCTGATACATTTTGCTAATTTCACAATGCTGTAATCTTTTTCCAATTTAGACACTCATTTTGCATTTAACAGACTACAGTATAGTGTCAATATAACTTTTATGCATACTGGAAAATCATAAACTATTGTGTGACTTGCTTTATTTTGATACTAGCTTCACTGCAATGGTCTGGAACAATACCTGCAGTATCTCTGAGGCGTGCCTCTATGTTCCTTCTGGAAGCCTGGAATTTCGGCAAGCAGAGGGCACAGGGTACATATGTAACCAATCTCTAAGAAAAACCTGGGCATTAAGCATCCAACGATATTCCTTAGGCAAGCACACATTTGGCACAAGTGGTTGCTAGAGAATTAAGCATGTTCTGAGCGAGTCTACTTGAGAGGGTTTCTGGAAGTTTGTTCCTAGTTTCCTCCAATCTTTTCTTCCCTTTGCTTTTTTCCTTGCATATTTTGATATCCTTTTGCTTAATAGATCTAAGCTGCCAGTATGACTAGAGTCCTCCTAGTGCATTATCAAACCCAGGGGTGATCTTGAGGGTCACGAGCACACCTGCAAGCTGTCCGTTAGAACTGGAATTCCTGGCCTGTGGACGGGCACATCTTTACTAGAGGTGACTAGTTTACACCTCCAGGTAGCTGCATGCATTTATATTCCCTTTAGGAGAATCCTTGAGAGTCTCTCTTTCATGCCCTAGCCAACACTTGCTGGTGTCAGACTTCTGAATTTTAACCAGTCAGATGTGTGTGAATTGGTATCTTACTGTCTCCTTGCTTTCATCCCCTGGAAACACTTTGTAACAACACACTTCTTGGTTAAGTGTACTTCCTATTTTAGACTTGAGTGAAACCTGACAGATGGTTTTAAAAGTAGCCAAGTATTACTGTAAGGAAAACTGTTAATGAATAAAAGTATTAAAAGCACAGAATTATTTTCAGAAAGAAAATTAACCCTAAGAAATTTGTACAACAAGGATTTTATTTTTTAATCCTCTAAGGTACCTAACATAATAAACAAGTAAAAGTTCAAGTAAATGTTTCATTAACATTTGGCTCTAAAAATACTACTCTGCCTGGAGTCGTTTGCCATAAAGTTATCTGTCATTTCTAAAACAAATTTCAAGGGCTTAGGTAAAAGTAGGCAAGTATATACTATTGTCATCAACTTGTACCTTTCTAAAAATCACCCTGAGAAATAAATATAGAAGAACTGGTAGTTAGCTCACTGCTTTAGTTCCTAGTAAAAGGTAAACAAATTTTTAGTTCTTCAGTTCCGTACGACAGAAAGCTGGTTTTCACTCATTACAGAGCTAAGCTTTTACATCTACTGGACATAAAAACCCAAACCCACTGCCATCAAGTGATTTCAACGCAAAGAAAGTTTTCATCTGGTTTCTGAGATGTAAATGTTTATGAGAAGAGAATACACTCCTCTTCCCACCATGGAGGAGCTGCTGGATTTGAACTGCAGACTTTTCAGTTAAGAGGCCACTCTGTTGTGCACAACACCAAATACATTATAAATTGATCTTGGAGGAAAAGGTACTTAAGTTTGCTGTGGTGTTTTGGTTTTTTAAATTAATGTTGATGAAAGTTTACAGAGACTTTGGATTTCCATTCATTGTTGCACTTTTCTCCCTGTCCCCCCTCCCCCCCCCCCAATTTGCTCTTCTCTTTCAAAAGTAAAAGAAAAATTCTATCAGATGCTCTGCCTGAAAAGGAGGGGCAATCTCCTCCTGTACCTGTCAGATCTGATTTGACGGTACAGACACACACAAAATAATAAAATTTTTAAAAAAAGAAAAATTTTTTTATTGTCATACAATCCCTTCCCCAAGTTCACTCCACTATGCTGCCTTCATTCTGGACTCCTGTCATAACAATAATATCTAATCATATATACCTTTTAAACAGTTTTCTCCCTCACCTGTTTCAATGCAGTATACATTGTTTATCCCCTCCTTCTCAGTCTCTCCCCCAATGCCCATGTCAGTCCTCTTTTATAACTGGCATTACGCAGTACTTGTCTTTTTGTGATTGAGATCTTTCACTCAGCATTTTATCTTTGAACTGTGGTGCCGCAGAAGAGTATTGAATGTACCATGGACTGCCAAGAAAATAAAGATTCATCCTAGAGAGGGTTAAACCAGGTTGCTCCTTGGAGGCAAGGATTCTGGGGCTTCATCTAACATACTTTGGACATACTGTAAGGAGGGACAGGCCCTTGGAGAAGGACATCATGCTTGGGAGGGTGGAGGGACAGCACAGGAGGGGAAGACCCTCTATGAGGTGGATTGATTCAGTGAAGGAGTAATCAGGATGGGTGTGTCAGAGACAGTGAGATTGGCACAGGATAGAGCAGGGTTTAGGGCTGTTTTACATAGAGTTGCTATGAGTTGCAAGCACATAACAACAACAAAAACAATGTCCTCCAAGGTCACCCATTTTGTATAATATTGCATGAGTTCCTTGTTTTTCAATGCAGCATAGTATTCCATTGTGTCAATATACCACAGCTTCTCTATCCATTCCTTTGTTGATGGGCACTTAGGTTGTTTCCAGCTCTTTGCTACTGTGAATGAAGCCAAAATAAACATAGGTGTGGTACTTAAGTTTTAATGATAAGACTATCATTTCATTCTGTTCAAGAAAATAGGTTTTAAAACCTGTCACATCACCTTAATGAAAATATGTCTGTGTGTTTTATAATTTCATCTCAGTGAGGAACAGGAGGTATGGTTTGTCTGTCTGCCTATGCATCAAAGTGCTGAAAACTGTTACACTGTCAATACATAGTTGGATTCCATGATTGTGGAGTTTCCCCCCACTTTATACGTAATGAGGACTTCTTAAGCACAGTGCATCTACTTACCTAAACTTCCAGCTGCCATTGCAGACTGCAGTGCAGCAGCCAAACTCGGGACCATCTGGTAGTAGTACACTGTATCCGCACACACACAGGCTGCAGTGCCCACTGCTCCCGGCCAGCTCTGAATGGGTCGGGGAAACCCCACCAAAAACACAGGAAGGGTGAAGAGAGGAAGTAAGGGAGAAGAGAGCAGTGTAGAAAAAACTATAAAGAGCAACACGAACGGAGAGAAGACAATGTTGAGTATACATAAAGTGGCAGTTGATTTTCGACGTTGTTTTTTCTCCGTCCATGAAGCCACAAGTACAGTCACAGCAAACTGTAATTTAGAGATGAACTGAATCAGACGATCACGCACAATACCAACCTGCAGAGATGTAAAAATGGTTTGCATTTACTCTTACAGATTTCATGAATTTTCAGGACTATATAAGGACATGTCATATGATTATTTTATTCTTGACAACACATTTGGGGCAAAATAGAATCTATATGCAATTCTTTGTTATACATTTTTCCTAACTCAAAATTACTAAATGAGACTACAGTTTTAAAAGTTTGGGAATCTCTCTAGAAGAATAAAATAAAAGACTAAAAAAGCACCAGATAAGGTTACTCTGTTTTGAAGTAGTGAGACCAGATGAGGTCAAAATTAAGCAACAGGCTTCTCAGTAAATGTAAAATACTGAAGCCATTTTTGTTTGCCATCTTCCATATCCAATCATCGGACTGAGTTTATGACATTTTGATGGAGACATTTTAACATAATCTGAAAAAAGGAATCACTACATTTCTACCTTTTAAAATTTTTAAAAACTCTAGCCCAACTCACAGGGTAAAAATAGAGGTAAATTAATCAAGATATATATTTTCTCATATTTATTTGATGACAAGAAGTATACTTTAAATTTTGATGCAGTTAACAAAAGATGCCCAATTTCCTCTAAATAGACAGAGATTTCTAACTTGTGCCTTAAAAGAACTGAAAAATTTCCTTCAAGAAGTTAAATTACATGACCATCTACAATGACAAATTTTACTTTGAAATTAATATATAATCCAAATCAATTAACTCTTCTTTTCACCTTTAACAAAACATTTTATGTTTAAAAAACACATTTTATTTAATAAGGTAAAAACATGGAATCGGTGTTAAACTTTATCACCAATATATTTGATATTCTTCTTTTTTTGTACTTAAAAAAAAATCACAAAGCTCAAATTTGCTGCCATTGTGTCCTGACTCTGAGTTGACTATAGGGAGGGTTTCCAAGACTGTACATGGCTAGAAGGAAGGTTTCCCATCTTTCTCCCATGGAGCAGCTCTTTGAATCAATGTGGATTCAAAATGCCAGGAAGGCATGGCCTTTGGCTTAGCAGGGTAACTCCCTACAGACTAGGCCTCCAGGGCTCCCTAAGTTGTTGCAATACGGTGTGGTTTACACTTAGCACTTGATGTCAAGCTGGTTGTGACACAGGGTGATCATGTGTGTTGTTAGCGTGGAACTGTGCCTCATGGGGGCTTTCAGTGGCTACTTTTTTGGAAGGAGATTGCCAGACCTTCTCCAAGGTTAATGTTCTCTATTATTTTTCTTCCTCAAGGAACTATGGATTTATGAACACGAAAAGCAAGGATATTCAGAGTCTCCTGCACTGGTGCGTCCAACAGTTCTAACCACGTATTTCTTTACATCTGATATCCACATTTTCAAAACACAAAATATTCTTCCCAGTGAGATCCGAAAATGCTTTCCTCTTATATCATTTAATGTTATAAGTTATTTCACATTTTCACTACTCTATTATGTAATTAATTGGTGGAAAAATGGTTTCCAAAATTTGGAACTGATAAACTTGGTTTCATAATATTCTGTTAAAGGTTTTATTTACTTCCTCAAAATGTGCATCTTTAGGGTATACATGAAAGTAAAAAAATCAGTACTGTCTAGAAATGTTGTTGGTCTCCTCAGTGTTACTGGGTTGTAACATCCCTCCAAACCTTTCTATTTCCTGTAATTACCTACCATAATAACCATTTAAGGCCTTATCTAAATCTTAAAATTGTTTCATTTTTGTACCGCCACTTCATTTTTGCGCCACCACATGGGGAGAAAATGAGATTGGCATTCTAGTAAGCAGAACTACTTTTGGTTGAACCACTTGTCAAAACTGCCTCAATTCAAAGAAATGTGACAATGAAAAGCCTTTGAGAATAATGCATATTTTCCTAACAGTGCTGATGGAAACATAAAACATAGTAAGCTTTCTGGAGGGTCATGTGCTAAAATGAATCAAGAGCTCTAAAAATGTTCTTAATTCTTAGACATCTTGAACTAGTAATTTGTCCTAAAGAAATGCAGCTAGACATGAACAATGATTCTGACACAAGATAACGACTGCCTCTTTTTAATAAGGAAAATATGAAACAAGTGTTGGCATTTTGTAACCATCAGTGAGTTGGCTACTTAGATTATGTATACAGGTACAATGGACTAAATGCAGCCACATCTATGGTGCTAAAGGGCTGGTGGACAGGGGCTAAGGAGTTGCATCGTCAATTCAAAGGCACATGGTTTGGATCCACTAGCTGCTCTGATACACAAAGATGAGCAGTTTCCTCCCATTAGATTTTCCCCCCACTAGTTTATTTACAAAATTCTAATACAAATTCGAACAAATTCTTTCCATTTCCCTCACCCCCCAGCCATCATATTATACAATCCAATGATTAATCCCCTCTTCCACATCCCTCTGCTTCCAGCCCCTCCCACCTCTCCTGGATCCTTATACTCATTCTACAATAACGGTCTTCTAAAATATTTATCATTGTGGAACTGAGTTAGTTCACTCAGGACAATGTTCTCCAGTCCCTCTCAAGTGAGGTAATAATTTACAAAGGTATTGCTCCTGTGTGCTGTGTAATGTTTCATCATGTGAATGTACCATAATTTCTCAATCCTCCTGTGCAGAAAACCCATTGGAGGGTCAGCCACAGGTCAGTTCCAACTCGAGAGCACACAAGTATTGTGAAGCTGGGTTGCAATCCAAAAGGCATGAGGTTTGTATCTACCAGATGATCCATGGGAGGACGGGCGATCTCCTTCTGTGCCATCTACTGTCTCTGAAAACCCAGTGGAGGGTCAGCTATGAGTTGGTTCTGACTTGATGGCATACAACAACAATGATAAGTGTTTAAATTTAGGGTATCTCATTTACTACTTCTGACAGTTCTATGAAATATTATAAGCTTAACTTTACAGATCAAAGAATACAAGAAATCCCATAAATTAAAATGTCAGTTATATAAAGTATGTTCATAAAAATGATCTAAGGTATGTTTTCTCAGAAAAATGTCATTAAATAAAGCACCAACAGCAGAATGAAAACAATTTTTCAGAATGAAAAAAAAGTTCCCAATGAGTCAAAAAGAACCTGTTGAGATAAAATAAAAACACAATAAATCAAACATGAGATACAACTAAAGCAATGCTCAGAGGGAAATTTGTACCTGTGTATTTCTATGTTAAAAGGAAGAACTTAATGGTCTCTTTTAGAAAACTAGAAAACAAAGAACATACAATGTTAAAGCCAAAAGAAGAAAATTATTAAGGTGGAAATAAAATGAAGGGGGAAAAAACAATAGAGAAAAATCAATTAGGCCTAATGTTCTTCGGAGACATAAACAAAATTGACCCTTGGCTAGAATGACCAAGAAAATAAAGAAAATCCTAAAAGTACTAAAGTCAAGGAGGGAAGAAATAGCATTATTACTACCACTAATTAAAAAAAAATAAAATAAGGGAATATTATGAAATATTTCATGCCAAAAATTTTTCTCCAAGTCTTAAACACAGAATTACGGAGGACCCAGAAATCCCACAACCAGTTACATAAATAAAATGAAACCTTAGCTCTCTATAAAAGCCTGTATACAAATGTTACAGCTGCATTACTGGTAATAGTTAAAAAGTAACAACTATCCAAATATCTATCAACGAATGAATGAACCAACCAACCATACAATGGGATTTTATCTGGCAATCAAAATTAATAATATATGCTAAAACACAGTTGAAACCTGAAAATAATGATTGAATGAATCTAGGTGCAAAGACCACAAATGATTCCAGTTGACATAGGAGTAATGGAGAGCAGGAATAAGGAATGACTACAAATAAACCTTTTAAGGCTTATTTTTGGGGTGCTGAAAATGTCCTAAAATTAGATTGTGGCAATGACTATACATTATATACGACTATGTTGTTGTTATTGTATGCCACTGAGATGTAACCAATCCATAGCTATCCCTCCAGTGCATTTTCAAGGGCAGTAAATCTCACAGGAGATTGCCAATCCTTCTCCCCTGGATTTGAACCACGTGCCTTCGGAAGTTTCTTACTACTAGGTCACCAACACTGCCTAGTATGTATAACTGACTTGTACATTTTAAATGGGTAGTTTTTTAAACCTCAAGTTGCTATTATCAAGGATGCTTTAGGCAGAATATTAAATGACCCAGGAAGTACAAAAAGAAGATGGAAAGAATATACTGAGTCACTGTATCAAAAGAAATTAGCAGACACAGAAGAATTTCATGAAACAACATATGAGCAAGAGCCTATGGTGACGAAGGAAGAAGTTCAGGCTGCTTTAAAGGAAATAGCTAAAAATAAAGCCCCAGGAATAGATGGTATACCAATTGAAGTATTTCAGCTAACAGATGCTTCCCTGGATGTGCTCACCAAGTTGTGCCAAGAAATCTGGAGAACAACCACTTGGCCAACTGACTGGAAGAGATCTATTATTTGTTCCCATTCCAAAGAAGGGTGACCCAACATTGTGTGGAAACTATATAACAATATCATTGATTTCACATGCAAACAAGATTCTACTGAACATTACCCAAAAACAACTGGAACAGCACATCAGCAGAAAACTACCAGAAGTCCAGGCTGGGTTTAGAAGGGGTCATGGTACTAGGGATATTGCAGCTAATGTTAGATGGATCTTAGGTGAAAGCAGGGAATACAAGAGAAATGTCTATCTGTGTTTCATTGATTATGCAAAGGTGTCTGACTGCGGGGATCATAACAAACTGTGGCTGACTCTGAGAACAATGGGAATCCCAGAACACTTGATCGTGCTAATGAGAAACCTATACTTGGATCAAGAGGCAGTCGTCAGAACAGAGCAAGGAAACACTGCATGGTTCAAAACTGGGGTGTATACCAGGTTCTGTCTATCTCCATAACTTTTCAACCTGTATGCAAAACAGATTATCTGGGAGGCTGGGCTCTATGAGGAGAAGTGTGGCATCAGGATTGGTGGAAGAGCTGTCAACAATCTGCATTGCAGATGGCACAACCCTGCTTGCTGAAACTGAGGAGGACCTGAAGCACTTGCTGCAGAAGGTCAAGGAGTGGAGCCTTCAATATGGATTGAGGCTCAATGTCAAGAAGAAAAAGATTCTCATCACTGGACCAATTGGCAGCATCAGGATGGATGGTGAAGAGATTGAGATTGTACACAGCTTTAGTTGGCTTGGCTCCACAGTCAACACTCTTGGCACCGGTAGCCAGGAAATTAAAAGACGTATTGTGATGGGAAAGCCTGCTGTTGGGGACCTTTCCAAAGTTCAGTGGTGTCTCTCTGGAGACTAAGGTGCATCTGATACAGGCCATGGTCTTTGCAATCACTTGTTATGCATCAAAGAGTTGGACAATGACCAAGGAGGATAGAAGAATGATTGATGCCTTTAAGCTGTGGTGCTGGAGAAGAGTATTGAGTGTACCATGGACTGCTAAGAAAACAAGTAGCTTCATCCAAGAGAGAGTTAAACCTGGCTGCTCCTTGGAGGCAAGGATTCTTAGGCTTTGTCTAACATACTTTGGACATGCTGTAAGGAGGGACCGGTCCTTAGAGAGGGGCATCATGCTTGGGAGGGTGGAGAGAAAACACAGAAGGGGAAGACCCTCTATGAGGTGGATTGATTCAGTGACTGGGGTAATTGGGGTGAGTGTGTCAGAGACGGTGAGACTAGCACAGGATAGAGCAAGGTTTAGGGATGTTGTACATAGGGTCGCTATGAGTTGCAAGCGACTCAATGGCACATAACAACAACAACAACAACAACATGTGATCAATATAACTCAATAAAGCTATTTAGTAAAATAAACATTTACCAGTAAGAGTCTAATTCCTGTATTCAAGTTTCTGTTCCACCATAAATCTTTACTGAAGATCAATGAGTGTACTACTGATACTGTGACTGTCTCCATTAAAGCATTTTCTGTATTCTGCCATACCTGCAATATACAAATGACCCATTTTTAGTATGTGGAATTTGATCATCTAAGCAAACAGCTTAAATAACCAAAAGTAAACTGAGCAATGATAAAATACTATTAAGCACATAATAGTATTACCATTCTAAAAGCTCTTGTGAATCCAATGGAGACAGCCACAGAGTGAGGGCTTTGTAAGGAACTGTCCAATGAGAGAAATGCCATGATAGCAAAAGGTGACACTGAAACAAAGTAAAAAAAAAAACACAAACCAACCAAATCTGGTGATTACAACAGAGTAACTTTCATCTCCTGTATCTTAGTTTGGCAAAAATAAAAGAATATACTTTTAAATTAGCACATTTAAGCAATTAACTTATAATTTTTTTTTAAAAGAGACCCCTGAGAACATTCCAACTTGAAGCAACTTTATAGAGAAAGTAGACCTGCTGTACTGGGTTCCCAAGGCTGTAATGTTTATGGAAGCAGACAGCCTCATCCTTCTCCCAAAGCCTGGATGATGAGTTTAGCCCCTGACATTCTCAGTAGCTGAGTGTTTAACTACAGACTGTCATCATCACACCAACGTGAATATTCCGTAATATTTTTGTACACTTCCGACATATGGTTTGTAATATGAAAGTTACTCTTCCTACCTACAGTTAGCAAAATTCGTCTGACAGCTCCAATCTTCATGAGTCTTTTCTGCTTCTCTAAGAACACAGCCACAGTTCGCATATCCTTTGGATAGAAAGGGTTTTGGAAAATCCCAAAGATATAGACACCTTGAATTTCTCTAAGAATCCACAGTATTACAAGTAATATAATCAAAATATAGCCAACAATAGTCTGAGGACTGTTTTTGGAAATTTGTGAGAAATCAGCAAAGTGATGCAGCAAACTTGTTTCCAAGAGAGCCAAGACTAACATAACAATGTAGAAAACACATTCTTTCCAGGGAAACTGTGCTTCTGCATCACTAGGTAAAGCCTCTGATTTGGTTATAACTCTGGTCCTGGCCACACTGTGTTTGAAGACAAAACCCATCTCACTTAGGTTAAGACTCAGTAAGAATCCAAGTCCAGTCATGAAAAGAACCACACCAATGGTGCTCGGAATAAAATAGGATGTTACAGCTGCCCCAGCCGAAATGATGAACATTGCTAACAGCCTGTAGAGGAAAAAGAAGAAAAACATTCATTTAAAGATAAAAACACTCTTTTAAGAACAAGTTACATATAACATCAATGCTTCGTAAAGTTACCGTAGGTGTGTTGACATGGGAGAGCCTCCAAGACCAAACTCTAAAACTTGCTCCATTGTCCATAAGAAAAGTGCATCTGGTGGAGGCAGAGTCCCCAGTGCCCAGAGAAAAGGCAAGAAAATAAACAAGATGTGTAAAATCTGATTCATTTGTTCCAGAGCTGGTATATTCTCCATAAACCTAAAAGAAAATGCTTCAATCATACATAGTAATATATATGTACAAGAACAACTTCAGGGGAAAGTAAAACAACACAGAATAACTTATGCACGCAAATTGTAACTACTCCATAATGAAATAACTACCAACGGAAAGTTCCTAGTCTCAGTTTATCAAAAGACAAAACAAAAAAAACCCCAAAACACAAAAGAATTTGGAAAAAAAAAGTTGTGATTCTTGTCCTTTCCATCTGCAGCAATCATTCCAGTTCAACTCTCCAGGAACTTGGCATTTAAAGAATATGTAGGCTCAAATGCAGAAAAAAGCCATTAAAAGCCATCACAATTGTTGAATTCAGGGATTTGTAAAGCCAAACAACTGAGCAATGGGGGGGGGGGGCTGGGGGGTGTGGATATTCTTCCATACAATGTTAAAAATTACACCTGAAATTTTACCAATGATTCTTCAGAGTTTAAAGTTTTTAAAATTAAAATTGCAAGAAACACTAAGAAAGACAAAGCCTTAGAGACATTTATTTATCAGTTTGAAAATCTGCTGGAGTCAGCCATGGGCCAGTTCTGACTTGATGGCAAATAACAGCAGTTAAGCAGAAAGAGCAGCTTTTCTCTTTGTTCTGGCCTTAAACTGCCCTATTCTCAGATCCCAGGATTTAAACTCAGTAGTAAGGCACTGACATCAATAGATCATATCTGAAGTCAGCAGTTTTAGGTTATGAATGTATGCGAGTTAGCTTGGGAACTTGTATTTATATTATTGTTTCTATCTTATGTAAGCAGTGGTATGGATTTGGGAACACAAACTTATAGTCTCTTCATAATTTACCTTAATAAAGAAGCTGAAATGTTGTCTATTAAATTTTGCTTAAATGGCAAACTACACTTAGCATTTAAGCAAAACATCATTATACCGTTTCAAAAATTCTAACAGGAAGCTCTGGTGGCCTGGCAGTTAGAAGCTGAGCTGCAGTCCCAAAGTTATGCAGTTTGAATCCAGCAGCTGTTCCACAGGAGGATGGGCAATCTCCTCCCAGGCTACTTAGTGTATCTGAAAACTGGATGGAAGGTCAGCTATAAATTGGTTCAGACTTAATGGCACACAATAACAAGATGTTAAGAAAACCTTTAAACCTTAAGATGCTTAAATATTATTAATATGCTGTCACTTTTTCAGAGTAAGGTTAACCACATACCATGTTCTGAGTCCAAAAATATCCTAGTACTTACACAAGAAGGTTCAAAAGAGAAAAATCAATCTCTATTTTTAGAGCAATATTGTACTTGAATACTTGAACTGCTGGAATAAAAATCAAGTAGAAAGACCAACTTCTGCAACATTTCTCGCTTAAGTGTATGCTGACAGCCCAGAAGCAAATGTATAGCAAGTAAGCACAAAGACATAATGCGTTTGCCCACGCAGGTAACAGGGCCTTTCAGAATAATGCAGTAAGCATTACAATACATGTCCTTCAAATTTGTATAAGCAGAAAATTAAAGAACACAATCAGTGTTAACAGTGTGGCAGGGGAAAAAAAAGAACTTTGTTTTAATACAATTAGAAAGCACTGTCAGCTAAGTTAGCATCACACTGTTAACTTTATGTCCCTTAATTTTCTGCTTATAAAAATTTGAAGGACATGTATTATGAGGCTTACTGCATTATCCTACCAAAAGCAATCTAAATGTTCAATGCAATCAGAATACGGATGCCAAATTCATTTATCAAGGAGACTGACAAGGAAACTGTCAAGTTTATTTGGAAAGGAAAGAGACCATAGTTAAGCAAAGTATTCCTAAAAAATAAAAAGGAAGTGGGAGGCATAGCACTTCCCAACCTCAAAACCTACCATATAGCAATAGTAACTAGAACAGCATGGTACTGGTATAATGACAGGCACTTAGGCCGGTGGAATAGGATTGAGAACTCAGCAATAAACCCAGCTATCTACAGTCAACTGATATTCAACAAAGAAATAAAACCTGAAAAACGAGGAAATGACAACCTCTTCAATGAATGGTGCTGTCAGACTGGACTGCTACTTGCAGAAAGCTGAAAAAGGATCCATATATCAAACTCAAGGTAGATCAGAGACCTTTAAATAAAGCCCAAAACCAGCTCTTAAGTGACAAAGTGGGATCAAGCTTAGAAGACCTAGTTTACTATATAAAGGGACTACCAAATACAGCTAGAAATGTACAATCTGGAGAGAATAAAATTGATGAATGGAACCTTCTAAAGATTAAATCTCTGTGCTCATCAAAAACTTTTTCCAACAGGGTAAAAGAAAACCTACTGAGTGTGAACAAACATTTGGCAATACAATCTCAGATAAGACCTATTTGTTTTCTTGGTAGTCCATGGTATGTACAAGACTTCTCTCCAGCACAACTTGAAGACATCGATTCTTATTCTGTCATCCTTAGTCATTGTCCAGCTCTCTGAAGCATAACAAGTAACTGAGAAGACCATGGTCTGGATTAGACATACTTTAGTCTCTAGACTGACATCATTGCTTTTCTGGACTCTGGAGAGGTTCTTGACAGATTTTCCCAATGCAATTAGTCTTTTGATTTCTTGACTGCTGGTGTTAAGAGTGTTGATTGTGGAGCCGAACAAGCTGTAATGACTAACAATCTCAATCTCTTCACCATCTATCATGGTGCTACCAATTGATCCAGTGGTGAGAATCTTTGTCTTCTTGATGTTGAGCTTCAATCCATACTGAAGACTACAGTACTTGATCTTCTGCAGCAAGCACTTCAGGTCTTCAGTTTCAGCAAGCAAGGTTTGTGTCATCTGCATACTGTAGGTTGTTGATGAGTCTTCTTCCAATCCTGATGCCACATTCCTCCTCATAAAGTCCTGTTTCCTGAATGATCTGTTCTGTATACAAATTAAAAATGTATTGGAGACAAGGATTCATCCCTGATGTACTCCTTTTCTGATTTTGAACCATGCAGTGTTTCCTTGCTCTGTTCTGAGGACTGCTTCCTGGTCCCAGTATAGGTTCCGCATAAGCACAATCAAGTGTCCTGGGATTCCCATTTTCTTCAAGGTTAGACACAATTCTTTCTGATCCACACAGTTAAATGACTTTGCATAGTCAATGAAACATGGATAGACATTCCTACGGTACTCTGCTTTCAGCCACAATCCATCTAATATTGGCAATAATGTCTCTAGTGCCACAACCTCTTCTGTACCCAGCTTGTATTTCTAGTAGTTACTGTTCCAGTAGTTTCTAGCTAATCTTCGGGTACATTATAAATCAATTGCCTTTGATATATATAAGAGATTTTTAAAAGCAAGCAAAAAAAAAAAATGAAGGGAGAAGGGAGGTGCCAAGCCACATCAGACTGTTCAGGAAAAGCAGCTCAGAACAGAAAAGACCTTCCTCTGGAGTCAACTGTAAAGAAGGCTTTCCCCTAAAACCGGTGCCCTGAACTCAGATGCCTAGCTTCCTAAACTGTGAGGAAATAAACTTCTGTTTGTTACACCCATTCATCTGCGGTTATTTTTGTTAGAGCAACACTAAATAACTGAAGAGAAAAACTAAAATCTCAATATATCATGTTGTTGTTGTTGTTATGTGCCGTCAAGTCGCCTGTGACTCATAGCAACCCTATATGTACAACAGCCCTAAACTCTGCTCTGTCCTGTGCCAATCGCACTGTCTCTGACACTCCCATCCCAATTATCCCAGTCACTGAATCAATCCACCT